CAAATCCACTTTGCACAGTTATAAAAAACAAACAAACAAACAAACAAACAACCCCAAACATACAAAAATAGCCCCCCAAAAGCAGCTTTCCTCCTCTACAGCACAGCTGTGAGTAGCTGGAGAATTCAAGCCAGCCTTTGTAAGGGGATTTTGGTGAAATGAGAAGGAAGCAGCAGCTGGATCATCCCCAAAGCCATTCCCGTTATTCCCAAAGTGTCTTAAAGAGGCTCCCACTCCCTCTATCCCTGGGAATAAAGGTGGGTCAGTCTGAATCCGCCTCATCCTCGGAGCCATCCCCCCCAAAGCCCGTTTCATAGCACTGGGACAGAGTCTTGAGCTCCTCCAGGGCCTGCTGGAAGTCGTCCTGTTCCACCCCGGCCGTGAAGAAGCTGCTCCAGCGCCGCACGTTCCGCGCCCGCAGGTCCCGCCAGAGGCCCGAGAGCAGCTGGTGCAGGACAGGGGAGGCCTGCAGGGCTGCCAGCACGGGGATGCTCTGCACACCTGGGGGGTCACACCAACAGCTGGGGTTAAACAGCCCCCAAAATCCGGGGCCTGGCCCCGTTCCCCTTCACCTCGGCACAAAGAGCCGCTCGACACTCGGAACTCGTGCCCTGCAAACCCTCCAGGGTGGGGTTGGTTTGGTGGTGTTTTAGTGGGTTTTTTTTACCTCTGCTGGGCCCTGCCGAGGAGTGACCCAGAGCTTTGTCCTGGAGGAAGCCTTGTCTGGTCAGGAGAGGGGAGAAGAACTGGGGGAAGGGAGGTCGGGTGTCGCAGGGCTGCTGGAGCACGTGGGCTGTGCTGGGGGGGAACAGGGGAATAAAGTTACCCCAAAACGCCCTCAAAACTGTTCCCTGGTCTAAACCAACCCCTCCCTGCCTGTACCCACCTGAAGGAGCCTGGGAAGTGGGTGTGGAGGTAGAGCTGGAGCATCTCCTCGGGGCTCTCACAGCCCTGCAGGGGCGCCCGGGGCTGCTGTCCCAGGGAGCTGCTGCAAAGGAAACCAAATCAGGGCTTTCCAGGCTGAAAACACCACTGGCTCAGCTGCTTTTTAGCTGGTTTTGCTCTAAAATTGAACTGGCTCAGTCACTAGACTGCTCCTCCATCCGAAGGGAGGGGTTTGGGATGACTCCCGGGAGGAATCACCGCTGGCAGAGCCGCAGTTCCAGGGGCAGAGGTGCAGTTCAGAGGCTGATTTACCTGCTGGGCCTTTCTTTGCAAACTCCTCGGAGCACAACAGACTGAGCAAAACAGCAGCTGACCTTTTGCTCCCTCCAGGAGGGCAGGAGGAGCTTCCAGGGCACGTCCTGCTGGTGGGCACTTAAAATCTCTGGGAGCGAGGAGCCGGGAAAGGCAGGGAAGGGGAGAGACGCCCACGCAGCCACAACCTGGATCAGGGTGGGGAAAACAGCCTGGAACACACTCCTGGAAGTGCAGAACAGCATCCCCTGCCCGCAGCAGGGCTGGAGGGATCAGGGGTGGCTGGTTTTGGTGTCCTCACCTTCCTCCCAGAGAAGGTGAGGGAGTCAGCAAAGTGCACCATGGAGCCCTGGGACGACCAGAGCCGGTAGGGAACCGTGAGGGTGTCAAGTGCTGCTGCCAAAATTGCACTGCTGTGGTAGTTCAGGGATGGCTGCGAGGAGAAAAAGGGGGACAGTCACAGGGCAAGTCCCAGTCACCAGTTCCTTACCCCAGTTTTGTGTATTTAACTTAATTGTGCCCTTGAAAAAGGTGTTTAATGGTTATTTCGGGGTCGGGATAAGGAGTCAGTGTGTAACAGTTATTCCAGGTTTGGGATAAGG